GCCCAGGGCATGCAGAACGGGCATAACAAGCTGATGTCCTTGCTTGGCCCTGAGGGCGTGCAACACCTTGTAGCACAAGGCCCCGGCATTTGGTGGGCGCTAGAGGCGTATTCGATTTACGAATACGCGCTGCTAGAGCACCTGCAGCAGAAGATGTCTGCATTGTTTGCGTCTATGATGCCACCGTCTGTGATGGAAGACTTTCCCCGACCTAAGCCGCTCATGGTGAGCGTTGAGGTCTTTGAGGGGAAGGATGGAGAGAATCTCCAACTCTGGGTGAGAGAGGTCGAGATGGCCATCGCTTCCGCCATGCTCCAAACCAACAACAGCGCGTGGTGCTAGCCATCTCCAAGCTCGGTGGTGAGCGCGAGAATGGGCACTGACGTGCGGCACTTCGGTCGGAGTTGCGTTTCCCTCCTGGGCGGGGCTGAAATTGCAACTCTTCCGAGTGTTTTCGCCGCCTAATCAGGCATATCGCGTGCGATCGCGTTTCCTTGCCTCCCGACAGGGCAACAAGTAGTTTGTGGACTTTGTCCTAGAGATGCGAACTCTCATTGCCGGGATGGCAGCCGATCCCCTTCCGGAAGCGGTAACAGTGACTGTCTTTATGGAACGCCTCCGCACTGGCGTGGCCAGAATGGAAGTCTTCCGTGTGCATTCGTCCTCGTTTGAAGAGGCGGTGGATGTGGAATTACTGCCGAATCCAATTTCAAGTCGGCACGACTTGGTGGAATGCACACTCATAGCTCGTCGAGCAGGGCTATGTCCATGGATATCAGCTATGCTGAAGACGAGGGAGCAGAGCTACGAGCCGCCGGGCAGCACGCAAACACACGACGGTGTTTTGTCTGTGGGGACACCCGTCACCTGCGGAACGGTTGCCCCCTGCGCAAGGCGCGTCAAGGTTCTTAGAACCATCGTCCCAACGCTTACGAGTCTGGTTCGTCGCGGGGAAACGACACCACTCGGTAGGCCCGGGCGACCTACTGGGGAAGAATTGAGTTCTGTTGAGCCTCAGGGAGGCATAGGTCAACAGTGTCCAGCCCCGAAGGGATCCGTGCTCTTGAACACGGAAATATGTATGCAAGCCGGGCTTGCTGGTCGTGGAGGCGACCGTAAAGGGCTTTGAGAAGTCATGGAAGATCCACGTCGATTCCGGGGCGTCGGGCAATTATGCTCGACGCTCCACGATGGAAGGAAGTCAGCTATATGCTGAGGCGCTGAAAGCGCGGTTGGGTGACATCGTCAC